GTGTAGGTTTCATCTGGTGCTTTAGATCTGAAGTAGGAATCATGTGAAGGTAGTGTGATGATTGATAGAAATGAGTTAATCTTCATTAATGGTATAAAAAGCTTTGGCTACCAAATATTCAAATTTACCAGTCTTTAATCTAGATAATTTCATTATGTACCTTTACACAGATGACATTTTATCACATGCACAGTGAATCATTTTGTGCTAGATCACACCAGGAATTACTACTGATTCCTTGAAATTTTTATCTTAAGCATCATGAATTGTTGTTTTGGGGGAAAATAGTTTTTATTATACAGGAAAACTGACTTAATTATTGCCCCCCAAAAAAAAACCAAAAAACCCACCAGATTTCTGGATACATTTAAAATCTGTCATTTTGTTCCTTTTCTCTCTGTGGAGTCAGGTGTATGTAGGACAAATACACTATTGATAATCTCAAAAACAACAACAACAACAAAAAAACAAAAACACCCAAACAATTGTGGATTGTTTCTTCTAATCTGAGTACTCTTCCCATTTAAGAATTTCTGTGTTTCTTTTTTTATGTAATATGTAGGCTAGTAACAGGAATAAAATCCCAAAGGTTAAAAGAATTTTTTTTTTCTTAAATTTTTAAATAAAATTCTGTGGCCTCTTCCTGCAGCTAATGAAGATATGCACAGAATTAAATTTATGTAGAACTAATACTTAGGAGGAATTTATATTCAAACTTTGTATTTGTTTGTTCAAGAAGAGACTGTGTATGTGAATTGAAATGTTTTAGCCAAATTAAATGCATCTGAAGGTGCTCTAGTTATTCTTTAATAGTATGTGTTTTTTTAAACATACATGGTTCATACAGATGCGTCAGCTTACCATATCTTATTCCTGTGATTCTTTTTCCGTTTGTAACCAAACATTTTGCTTTCACATTAGGGATTTTATTCCTCATGTTATTTTCAAACTTGTGTCTCCACACTAATTTAAGCAATTTGCAGTTGGCAGCTATTTTGAGCTACGATTCGGCAGGAAACCAGCACAAACCTCAGATGCTTTCCAAGATTTAAAACCAGTTGAATTGTTTCACTTTTGCACATGCTGGTGATTCATGCAGATGTCCATGTTTTAATAAAAATAAATGAGATTATGTATACAGTAATATATATATTTTTTTCCCCTATTTGGATATTTTTCACAAAATTTTAATTTCATGCTGTTGTTAAAGAAAAAAGAAGAAAGTTTTTAGTCACAAGAATTCAGCAGACATCAACCTTTCCCTCCAAACCCATACCATGACAGAAAAAGGCATGCTTCAGGCTTCTTACATGCATTCTTGTGAGTTAGGAACTTGATGAGCAATCACTGTAGTTGAAAATGAATTATTATTGCACAGTTTTCTTTGACTGATATGAATGTTAAATATCCTCAATTCTAGTGGATCTAGGACAAAAGTCATTAAAAAGTACTTTGCTTAATATACAAAGCATTTAAATTTTTAAGTGGTCGAGAGCTGTGCTGTCACATCTTTTTTCTTCCTTAGCTGTTCATAACCAGCATGGGTTTTCTGCCGTTATTTAAGGATGCCGTGTTGTTTTGTTCCTCACCTTACTCAATCTCCTCAATGTTTCCCCCTTCCATGACACTCATATGTATTCCTATATGAAGAAGTTCAAAGGAAGACTTTAAAGCTTACCTAGTTAAGTAAAACCACACCTACTTTGACGTTTCATTATTCTCATAGACTGCCTTTTATTAAGCTCTCTTGAATTACATTTGAGGTTGGTGTGCTTGCCAGTTATTTTCAAGAAAGACACATACAGGATCCCTTGGCACACTTCTTTGTAAGTATGGTGTCCCATATGTTGTTGGTTTTCATATAGAAAATAGTTACTGAAATGCTAGTTTTTTTCAGAAGTAGGGGACTATTGCACAACATGACTTAATCTTCAAAGAGGACTGGAAGCAGTTCCCGTTAATACTCTGACCTCCCTTTACATGTGAATCTTTGTTTAAAAAATATGAAGCAATAGTGTAATGTAACCTTAAATTTTAACCTCATAGTGTTGTACTAGGGCATTATCACTTACATATGTAGCACATCTTTCTCCACAGTTGCTGTGTGGAAACTGACAACTACATAGCCGAGAGATGTGTTTAAAAATTTCCTGTATATTCTTGATGTATCTTGGTTTTGCTTCATATGGTATCTAGCAATTTCAAAAAGAAGATAGTTTGGTTTTACTTAGGAAATTTTGGTCACATCAGAGATTGATATATGATTCTTGAACTTCAGGCATGTCAAATCTTAATTGCGACAAGTTCAATGACCTCTTCAAAATATCCATTGTATACTTACCTTGGACTTCTGTAACAAAGATTGATCCTTTTCATCAGGAAACTAGTGCAATTACTATATCTGAGAAAAATAAAGCTGATTAATGGATAGAAGGTAGATTTTACCGACCATTTAAAAATTTGCCTCTGTCAGTTGTGTATAGGTAAGATAAACTCCTGGAAAAAATGAGTGTCTTAAGATACCTTTTGAGTGTTTTAAAATGCTAGTCTAGGTTCAGATTAAATTTTCATGTTGTTCTTGGTTTTATCAGTCACCTTTAAGCTTTCATAAATTTAGGATAGTAATTCAGTTAACTGTGTTGGTACTGTCTATTTTAATTAGAAACTAAGTATTTATAATATACTACCCTAAAGCAATCACTTTAACTTATCATTGAATTAGGATTGCAGATAGTGATTATTATAGTGCAGTATGTTGGTTTTCTATTATTTCTTGGCTAGATAGCAGTAATAGAAAATTTCAGTGACACATGTCATTTATTTAGTATTCTTCTTGCTTCCAGCTACACAGATTTTCTTCAGGCACTGAAACAGATGTAAACAAATGTTTATAACATGGATCACTGAATTAGAGTATTTAACACAGTAAAAAGCACGGGTTTTTGCAGGGTGGGGGAATTTATAATTTCTCAATATATATTTTGCATGCAGTTGTCAATATACAACAAGCATAATTATACCTTATTAAGTCTGTTAGTAAATGCTGGGCTTTGTTTCTGCTGGATCGCTACAAAATGTTTGACGGCACTTAAGAACTGTTTGCAAGTAACCTGTATATGAATTCCACTTGCATTTGATATAATTTAATATTGTAGCAATGACCACTTAATTTTATTTGGTGTGGTAAGGACAGAGATTAGATCTGGGGTAAAATGGAACACAGGTGGTTTTTTTTGTTTTTTTTTTTTAATTCTTCAATACTTGATTTCTAATAAATCTTTGGCTCTCTGGAACACAGGCCAATTTGATTAAAAGTCAAGCTTCATTTGTGCAGCATTCAGTTACTGTTCTCTGAATGAAAGAAATGAAAGTAAAACATGCATACCTAAGAATAGAAATTATGTCCTCTAAGTAAATAACAAACTAAACTAGAGGTTGCTCAGTGAAAAAACAAATTGGCGTAATTACTTGTCTGATTAACATAGACTGGAATGATAGTGTATACATATATTCATGAGTAAAATGCAATAACTTGACTAAATCTACTGACAGATCCATAGTCCTTTTACTTTGAATTAAAACGGTTGTCTTTTTTTTTTCTTTTTTTCTTTAGATGCGTAGTGATTGTTTCCTGTAAAATCTGATGTGAAATTTAGTTATTTAAGCACTTAGCGATA